CGTTTGAGCCGAGCATTGAAAGACAAATACGGCCGCAATACAACGAGAGACACGATAAAGTGATTTTGCAGCATGACAATGCTCGACCCCATGTTGCGAAAGTGGTCAAGACATACTTGGAAACGTTGAAATGGGAAGTCCTACCCACCGTATTCTCCAGACGTTGCTCCTTCTGACTACCACTTGTTTTGATCAATGGCACACGGCCTGGCTGACCAGCACTTCCGGTCTTATGAAGAAGTAAAAAATTGGATCGATTCGTGGATAGCCTCAAAAAATGACCAGTTTTTTCGACACGGGATTCGTACGCTACCCGAAAGATGGGAGAAAGTAGTGGCCAGCGATGGACAATACTTTGAATCATAAACCATAACCAGTTTTTTACAATAAAGCCTCGAATTTCGGAAAAAAAATTTTATTAGTGTGTACAAACAGGCATCTGTATGCAGGAATGTGGTTTCCATAAAAAGCAATCGATCCGAACATCTTGGCCACAGAATAGCAAAAGGGTAGATAGATGTCATCTGAGACTCAAAATTATGTAGAACTTGATTAATACCCTTTTCAGTATAAGGTATGTTTTCGCAGTAGCCATCCTCTCCGCGAAACGTCCAGCTATGAAATGGACACTCCAGACAATCTCCTTTGACACGACCACCCTTGGCCATATTTGCCCCTAAATGCGGGCAATATGCGTCTAAAATGTTGATAACGCCTCTTTCGGTTCTTGAAGAAATTAATAAAACGTTACGTGATAAATAATATTTAGTTTAAATATTTTTAAGATATATCTTGAAATAGAACATCCTGTTATATCTTAAAATATTTTAAAAAATAATCAAAGAAAATTCTATACGTACCTGAATACCGCGAAATTTTCACCGAGAGCAGACACATGTTTCACCTGACCATTTTTTATCTGCGAACTTTCAAGCAAAGCGAACCATCCATTCGGATAGACCGGCGGTAGTTGGCTCACTTTCCGATGTTTGTTACTCGCGTAAAAACTGCGGATCTGTCGTGTTTTAGTCTCAATTCTCATGTCCTTTAAGAAGTACCAAATTATAATCTTAACACACTTTATAGTAAAAACACAGAAAATAATGTCGCTTGATCATCACTTACTTTCACCCAATCGAATTTGAAGAAATATGCAAAGTAGATGAGGAAGATCAGCAGAGTGGTCATTCCGACGCACCATTCCAACATTGTCACTACTTCTATCCCAATGTTTCGTCTTCTCGATTTGTTTCCTTTCTTATTTTAGTGTACCTCGTGAGTCTTCGATCCGTTCAATTGCACGGCAAGAATGCAATTTATACAGGAGAGATCGCTCTTGTTGCAGGAGAGATAAACAAGAGCAAAAGCAAAACAGCCAGGAATGACGACGAGGACAGGAGAAAGAACGAAAGAAAAAGAGAAAAAGTTAGACGGATTGGAAAAGGAAGAGAGAGAGGAAGTAACTGAAGAAGACACGCACATTTATCAATAGCCGGGACAGAAAAAGGGCAAAGAAGACTCCTGATGAGAAGACACAAAACAAGGCCAAGGACGATGATATATGGCGTACAAGAGGATGAGAGGGAGAGAGTGATAGGGAGCAGAGCGTGATGATGATACAATTTAGTTAGTATGTAAACGCACATCTGCATCAGCAATGTGTGATGAGACCTACAGCCGGAGGGTTAAGGGACATGGGCAATGTAGAAGATTGGAGAACGGGACGAATCGAAGAGATACAAGAGGAGGAACGCGCGGAAATCGCGCGAAGCAAGTAGGGCAAGAGGAAAAGAAAGAAAGAGGACTCATTAGCATGGAAAACTCACGCTAACAGGAAGGAACTATCCAGAACTTATAAAGGTTTTCGGACAACTAAAACGGACGAGAGATCTATCTGCAATATATATATATGCCGTTCGGCCGTTTCTATCGAAAAGCCCGTGTTTTTTCCCCCCCTGAGCCGAAGTCCCGTGTCATTTGTCGCCGATCGACTCGTGTCACGTAAACCGTAACCCGATTATGTATGCCCGGCCATGGACGAACGAACAGCTTATATATCGTCTCCTATATCACTAGATCTAAAACCACCATGACTCCTCTTCTCCTCCTTCTTCTCTTTTCTTGCTTCATCGTTCTCTTCGCCTCAACCGACCGGCCGGTCGGTGTCTTTCTTTATCGAGATTGTATATCGATTACGATGCCAGCTCATCGATTTATCCGTTTACCCATCCGTTTAGCATATCGATTCCAACAGAGAAAATAGAAAGATTCACTTTTATAATATGAGAAAGAAAAAGAGCTACAAACTAAAAAAATTATTCAATTACATCATTAATATAAAAATTGGAACGTAAGTAAAGAAAACAATTATATCATTTAGTTAAGATTTAATACAATGAGTGATAAATAAACGTTTCGATGGCGATCAAATCATTATCAATGTTAAAACATGGAATATTACAAACGATAAAAAAACAAAACAATATAAATTTATACTTCGCTCTCTCTAACAAACGCTGGTAACATTAAAACGATTATAATCCTGTTCGCAGTTATATTATAGGTTGGAAAAAGTCGTTGCATGATAGTAGATAATTGCAGTCAATCATTGATTGACTTGAATTATGTCCTTTAATAATGCAAATTGAAGAATGTAACGCATGAAATTGAATTTTGTCCTTTAATGTAAAAACAAAATTTCTTTAGTCAAAAATTAAATGTATTTCTGGCGTAGAAAGTCGATTAAAATTAGAGACAATGCGATAAGAGTAAAACGATATATTTTCTCTTCGGTATTATGAGACATTGTATTCACTTTTATATTTTTACGATCCCGGTTTCGTTGTTAACACAAATGTGTTCCTCTTCTTTTCTTGGCGAAAAATCCCTCTCCTTTCAGTTCATCTGGAATATTTATTCTGTCAATGAACGCTATCGACGATTATCGATATTATGTAAGCTTCTTTTAGTCTCTCCTTACATCCTTCCAAAATTCTTACATCGCAAAATTCTTACAAATTGAGTTTCAAATTTCAAACATGCGAAAAGTATCATATAAATGCAACGAAAGACATCGCACCTGTTCATAAAAGCGAAATGATAGCGTTTTTCACTGGCAGTGCGCATTCAGTTAAAGCACTGTACACTGACTTAATCTGAATGTAAAAGTGAGATATCTCCATTAATAAAATACCCAATGTATATTTTATCAAATACCACAATAAAATGGATTGTATTGAGAATTTCGTGATTTAATTCGTTTCTATATTTTTATTAAACAAACACCTTTACATCAATTTGTATACAAAGTGCACTGAATGTATACCAGCTCTGCCAGTGAAAAACGCTGAGTCAAGACATTAGATTGCATAAAAAAAAGCTAATGTCTCCGAAGACGGAGAAAGAGAAAAGGAAAACCTACCTAAGAGAAAGGAAAACGAGAAGAATATATATGATAGAATATTGATTAATTAGATCTTATCCCAATAAAATTACAAATGACTCAACATGTAAAGCTAGCAAAAATATATGTGATTATTCAAAGCACTTTTTGCGTCTTCATTTGAAAATAAAATTAAGTGCTTTAAATTAAGTATTTTTAGAGCCATTTTTCATAATTATATATATTTCTAATGGATCATTTATAGTTTCTCTTCAAACTGATAAATTTTTTTCCTGTCAGATAAGAATGTAAATGGGAGAGAAAATAATAGATCTGGCAAGTATTCTAAAATTGAGAGTAGAATGTCTTGGGTCAGAGATCCATTTTTGTAATTTAAAAATCTATGTCGAGCTAGTATCCGTCACTATCTTAAATATTCTGGTAAGCGTAAACACATTGTACCACCCAGGATGATGTAATGCGTCACATCCTTGATGTACATGGAGAACAAATTAATTATTCAAACGCATAGCGAGACGAAGAAACAATCTCAGTCGAGAGATGAACAATGCTCACAGCAGCTTCGTAAGTGGTGCGTTTTTCCATTTATCAAGATGTTCATTTCTCTCTTTCTCTTTATCTTTCGTCGTTCCTTTTTTCCAGCTACCTTTCTGCCAGGTCCGAAATTCTAACACTCGCCACTGTCGCCGCGGTATAATATTATTCGATGAGACGTCAATAATGAGATAGTTTTCACTCGCTCTTATACTCGCTTGCTCGCAAAGCTCATGTTGGGCGAAATGAATAAGACAGGACAGCTAATACGTGCCACTGCGTGGCAACAAAATGTTTAGACAGTGCGTCAGCTCAAAAATGCTTAATCGCCGTTTTTCGCGATGGAGAAATACGGAGAGATCATCTTTCAGCTTTCAGTTGGTAGATCGGTACTCAAAACACATTCATGCAATATAGCGAGTAGGCCATCTTTGTCGAAGTGATTTAAGGATCTGTATAAAATGTAGGTGTAATAAAAGTGAAACAGAAAAATGTCTCCATCACTTCAAGTCAGTTATTTCTAATGTTTACCTATTGAAAGAAGTATCAAGAGAGTAATTGTTCATCGTAAATCGGTTAAAATCAAAATTTTTTTGTTCTTATATACACGGAAAAAAATATTTGATTGAATTAACTGGAATTGTGGTGGAAAATGAACGATCCAGAATTCTAGTTAAGTTTACTAGATTTCTGGTTAAATCTACCAAGATTTTGAAATCAGGAAATAACCAATTTCAAAATCTATCAAAATTCTAGTTGAAATAACTAATTATTAATTACTAATTACTAATTCTCATCTATCAGAATTCTGTTTAAAATAACCAGAAACTAATAAATTTAACCAGAAATCTAGTAAATTTAATTAGAATTCTGAATCTTTTTTTTTCCATCACAATTCCAGTTAAGTCGAAAAATCAAAATGCTTCGATCTATTTAAAAATTAGAATATTATTTAAAACGAAACTAAAACTATATTAAAATTTCAAACCGATTGACTGTAATTTTTAAAAATGAAAGTTAGAATTTTATGCATGGTGTCATATGACATATGACACCATTGAATGATTGATATATTATATAATTACTTACTTTTAAAATGCTTCGATCTACAAAAACGATCTATAAAAAACATATAAATAGTTAGAACAAACCTTTTTTTATCCTTGCAAGAATTTTAATTCTATTCACTAATTTATTTGTATACAAGCAAAATGCTGGTAAAAGCATGCTTAATAATTAAAAATTAGCAATCAATGTTATCATTTAATTTTAATAAACCATAAATTGTCTTTCTTATTTAAAGATTTTCATATATTAAGTTGTATTATCAATAGAATAATAGCGTACGCTACTCATCACTCTGCAAGTGATCGATCGTACATCCTTAATTCAACCAAATACTTTTCTCTATGTAGGAAATATCATTGAAACGTCAATAACAATTTTAGGCAAGAGAAGTACCTCCTTCTCCAACACTTGAAAATAATGGATAAATTAATGGTGTTATAATGAAAAATTGATTTAATTAAATTAATTTAATAAAATCAATTTTGTAAAAATTATTTACTTTTATATTTTACATACATATGTTTTACACGTACACTATTTTTTTTATGAAATGCATAAAAAGTAAGTTGAATATAATGTACGAAACAAACTCTATTAGAAACTTTCAAAACAAACAAAAATTATAGATTATGATTTTATGCAATTCGCAGTTTTTCGGTAATTATCATCCAGCTCACGATGTAAGAATTAGACATGTGTTTTCTTACATCATAATCCAACTATTGAGTGCTTTTTATTTAATGACACAAATCGACACAAGTATTATTCTATCTTTATTACTTATTATATATCAAGATACCAAGAGATAGATTTCAAGATAGAAAGAAGCTTATGTCAATTTATGTCATCAACTTGTGTGGAAAGCATCTATTGATAATCATCTTCATGTTTACAAAATGATCCAGCCGACACCAATTAAAAATAAAACACAACTTCTATATTATAATCTGTACAATATTAGGTATGGGAAAAAGTTCGTGGCGTTTTTCCCGTTACATCTAACAGGAAAAACGCCACGAACTTTTTCTCACACTTAATATAAATGTAATATAATACATTACATAATATATAGTTTAATTTAACTATTATATGTAAATATTATGTAATATCGTGTGTTTACATTTATATTGTTCAGTGCAAAATTATAAAATATGTTATGTTATTTTTATATCCGTTTCTATCAATGTAATTTAATTTTAATCAA